GGGACTCGAACACGCTGAGACCGACACGCTGACCACTCGGCCACGCTACCTCCCACGATACGGTTTAAACTATATTTAGGTAGTTCAATATACAATATTCGAAGTCATAATTTGAATTCGAGTACTGGTTTTGCGCACTCTTTTAGCTACATCTCTTTCTACTTCAGAACAATTTTTTTCTTAACTATCTAACTTAAAGCGGGTAATTTGTAGACAAAAATTATTAAATAAAAAATATAGGTAATTACTTATTTCCCTGTCGAGCTTAGCTTGAGGGAAATCTCTCACGTTGTGTGTTTGCAAGCGCTCATGTGCACGTGCTGATGACTCGAAAATCGTGCGCAGCAGGGTTGCAGAATGCAATACTGAGGAAAAGATTCTGTTTTTTTCCCCGCTTACTGAAAACTTCACAAAAAATTTATCAAGAAACCCTTACTCGGTTCTCCTTAGCTACAGTGCACCTGCATACTAAGTCCATTGATACCTTTTTTGAAATTATTATTTCCATTTGGACAGAAGTTTCAAATAGGCCATATTTGTATTTTCGGCATTGGACTGGACATTTGCATTTGAAAAGACTCCCCATGTTAGCCTCGGTTGCAACGCTTGCTTTTAATGGTTACCCACCTCGTCAATTTCGCTTTTCCGACTTCTGCTTTGAGTCCCCGTTCTCAGTGCAATAGCGAAGCGCGCGAGTGACGTCATAACTCAGACAAACTCAGACAAACAAAACGGAAAATTTGACGCTTTTTCAAGCGCGTAAGCAAGTGTTCCTAAAACAATTTTTAAAACGAAAATTTGGCCTGTACTTTCCTATTATTTCTCTCAGCAAACGCTTAGTGTTGTCTGACTCTCGCGGGGTTTCAATAATTTGCATTCTCAGCACATTCTCAAACTCACCGCAAGACCGAGATACCGTCTCAGACAATCTGGATCAACAAATTCATTACGATTGACAAAAAAATGGTATATCTGCCTCATTGGCACCGAGCAGGTATAAAGCAAATTTTAGACCTTTTTGACGAGCATGAGAATTGCTTCCTGCCTTTCCTTTCCTTGCGCAATAAATACGCGCTAAATTGCAACTTTTTACAATATATATTATAGTCTTTTATCTGCGATCCCTCAAAGTTGGAAGAAGCTCCTTGACGTTAATTCTGGCGACTCTACTACACCCCCGCCACCAATCGGTACTATGACGTGCAAGATGTTATACGGCAAACTGCTAACCTTAGAAAATCTTCCTCATCCCACCTCAGAAAAGAAAACTCTTATCATACGTCATCGCAAAAGAATACCTAAATAAAATTTCTCTTCTGCCGTTCACAGCCACAAAAGAAGTTAAATTAGCAATGTTCCAGCACAAAACCGTACACAACATTTTAGCCACGAACAGTATGTTATACAAAATGAACAAGGCTGCCTCCCCATCCTGCCCTTTCTGTCCCTCTGATAGTCAAAACACCGCAGGCGTCTTCCTTTTGGTATAAGTTCCAAAGGTGGTATTCTACCGTAAGTAACGCGAGTTTACTTCTCTCCGAGCCAGACGTATTATTTGGAATACCTCGTCCCTGTACTCACCGTTTGACCCTCAACCACCTCATAATGCTAGGCAAATACTTTCTTTATATCAACGCTCTAAATAATACTATGTTCGTTTTCAGCGACTTCATCTCATTAGTGCAGGATAAAAATCGAGATAGAAAAATATATTGCTGCCACGTTGAATGGTGAAAGGGAATTTGAACAGAAGTGTAAATTCCTTCTCACCATTTAAGGCGTTTCCCTCAGTAATTTGTTGCGAGGTCTTTTTTTTTAGTTTGTTTGTTGGTTTTTTTTCTANTTTCTTTATATCAACGCTCTAAATAATACTATGTTCGTTTTCAGCGACTTCATCTCATTAGTGCAGGATAAAATCGAGATAGAAAAATATATTGCTGCCGCGTTGAATGGTGAAAGGAAATTTCAACAGAAGTGGAAATTCCTTCTCACCATTTAAGGCGTTTCCCTTACTAATTTGTTGCGAGGTCTTTTTTTTTTAGTTTGTTTGTTGGTTGTTTTTTTTTTCTATAATTAAGTAATTACATTGTATTGTAACTCCTTAAGTAACGTAATTATTGCGTATTGTAAGTAAGAAAGGTAATGCCAAGTATTGTAAATACGTTTTTTTTTTTTGATTTATTGTAAGTGACGTTTGTAAGACAGTAAAAGCATTAGAAATAATAATAATAATAATAATAATGATAATGATAATAACAATAATGTAGTGTATTGTAAGTAGGTTAGTTATTGTTGTAAGTAGAGTAAGGCAATGTAAGTAATTATGTGTTTAGCAATAAAAAAAAATAAATGAATAAATAAATAATAAAAAAAAGTAGTGAGGACACCCACAACACAAGCATAAGCACAAGCAGAACAAAACTGATTGTTCGTCTTGTGCTTGTATTTATGTTTTTTTCAAGTGACAAGATGCCGCTGAAAGCATAAGCACAATCATCGTCCGCCATTCTTTTCTGTATCGTGGAGGTATGGAACCGATAATATAGTAATTTTTCATTCTGCGCATGCCTAAGAAAATATGCTTACCGTTATGCTTGTGCTTGTGTTTGTGTTTATGTCGTAGTGAAAAATACACAGGCTTGACTAACATTTTTATTGCATCAACATTTTTTTTTTGTTGTGTTATTCAAATTACCAGGGTAACAGCACGTTTCAGTAGCTGAGAACATAAAGACCATCGATCTATAAAACCACATGAAGTCAACAATGAAAGGTACGTCATTTGCAACCGCAGTGTGCGTCAAAAGACATCTGTAGCCAGAAAACGTTTTTTGTTTCAAAATCGCAGTGTAACACAGACGAATACTAATTAGCAATAAACCATTCAATATAGTGCTTATCATATAAAGAGTGTTTTTCCGAGTGATTAATTAATCTACAGTGCGGGTGATAATAAAAAGAGAAGTCAATTAATCATTAAAGTTCACTCATGGATGAGTGAACGTTATGGAGAACTCGGCTCTTTTAAATCCATTTGAAAAATAATTATTTCAGGCGTGATGAACATATTGGAACAAAAATCCTCTACGGTTGCCAATGCTAGCGCATTTTTTTCGGAAGGTTACACCATTCAAAGCCTGGTTACCAAGCGTTACCAATGTGAAATTTTCATTGGCTGTTTTCTACTCACGTTTGATTTATTGAAAAATATCTTTTACTGGGCAGTTATTTTACAGATCTTCGTAATCACTGTGTGTAAAACCAAACAAGAAAAACCAGACAATTGGAAACAAGACACTTGAATAGTCTTTGTCTTGTCTATCGCCTCGCTGAGCTTATTTTACAAAGCTCATTCTAATAAGCTTACCGAAATGTTGCCAAGCACGCGTATATCATTGGACTTCGCATTTTTGGCCATGTTTTCTAACGAACCTAAGCCAGCTGTGCCTTGTCATGAACAACAGCATTTATATTTTATTCTATGTTTGCTTCATCATTTGGTTAATGGCACATTCCTGAACATTCATTACTTTTGCAATTATTACTGATATTTGCCTGGTGTCTGAAGGCATGATACAGCAATATCAATGCTCTTCGTACAACTTGTGCTTAATATGGTGTATTATTCGTAAATGGCAATTCTTGGCAATCTTTGAAGGAGACATTTAGGGGCTCAAAATTACTGAGAAACATGTATTGCTTTTATTTTACTAGTAAACTGTATTTTAATCCTAGCTTATTCACCCGTGAAAGTTAATAATCCCCGTATTGGCTCTCCCAGCAATTGAAGATATGTGTCTTTCAGTCTGTTTTGTTTGTCATCGCTGCCTTTTTGATTGTATTTTGTCCAAAATGCATAAATAACAGGCGCGGGTTGACAAGCATGAGACGTATGTTACGAACAAATTGTTTGCTTGGCTTGCAGCAAAGTCGTTATTGTTTGATGTAACCTTTCAACTGCACAGGCGTAACCTGTCAGTCTGTTGGTACGCCTGACCGACCCATTTCCAATTTCTCAATTCCACTCTCAATGTTTCAAGTTCTCAAGGAATTCGTAACGAAATATTTAACTAATCACACAGTCGACACATGAAAGAAATCAGTGGATTTATAACAGAACAGTTGCAAAAAGCAACGGACAGACAATGTTATAGATGTGAAATCCAGTTTAAATTTCGTCTTTAGGCATACAGATTAGGATCCATTAAAAGTCAAAAGTTTAAACATTCATGGCAACATTCTATTCAGAGTGATTATCGTTTTCTTAAATGCATTTCAAAGACACCATGCGGAAAAAGCAAGCAGTTTTTACTTGGAAGGGATACCTATCGATCCAGTCATTTAAGTTTAATCAGCAAATAAAACCCATGCATTTTATCAAACAAAAAACGAAAAGGTAATTAGAACTTACCAAAATAAATCCTTGTTTTGTTGGCCACGGACGAGTCTTCCTTCTTAAATTTGTCCAAGTAGCGTAAACTAAAGACACGAGTTGAGGGATCATTAAAACCAGGACAAGCATTAATATGGAGGCTTGTTTGCTTGTCTCTACAGAAGCATCTCCCAGAGCACTTGTCTTAGTTTGATTTAAAGCTTTGAACTGCTGTCCTAGAACCAGCAGACAAATCTTACTGGCCACCACGCAGAACACAACAACTGAGAAAACGAGCACGGCCGTTAGCCATTTCAAGACGGTGAAGAACACGTCGATAAGTTGACCGCCATTTTCAAGTCTGCTGCTCGCATTTGATACTGAAGATTCAGTTCTTTCCAAAGTGTATCGTTTTCGATTGTGATCAGCTGACAACTGAGCAAAGTTTTCGTAGTTGCTTATCTTTCGAGACATTCTGAATCGTATCTTACACTTGTCTTCTGTGCAACACAGGCATCCAAGCAGCCTCCAAAGATTACAACAACTTCCTTGTTCTTCCTTGTTCGTGGCCAAAGATTTCAGACCTCCGCCAGGTTTGTTATAACTGGATTATTCTAATCTCCCCCTCGTTGCTTTGAATGGATCTCTTCAGCTTCGTGTGTCGGAGAACTGAAAAGCCCCTTTGGGACGAATAAAGTAGGCACGTATGTATGTGCCACAAGATAATTGAGACGTACCAAAATACGGTATTTTTGTACGTCTCAATTATCTTGTCGGCTGGCTTTACGTTTCTGTGGTAACCATGTTCTCAACATGGATATTGAGAGTATTCAACCTGAGTAACATTTTTAACTCCTCTTTGAGTTCACTTCCCTTCGATTATTTGGGTTTCAGTAACTATTGTACCNACAAATCTTACTGGCCACCACGCAGAACACAACAACTGAGAAAACGAGCACGGCCGTTAGCCATTTCAAGACGCTGAAGAACACGTCGATAAGTTGACCGCCATTTTCAAGTCTGCTGCTGGCATTTGATATTGATGATTCAGTCCTTTCAACCGTGTAGCGTTTTCGATGGTGATCAGCTGACAACTGAGCAAAGTTTTCGTAGTTGCTTATCTTTCGAGACATTTTGAATCCTGTCTTACACTTGTCTTCTGTGCAACTCAGGCATCCAAGCACCCCCAAAGATTACAACAACTTCCTTGTTCTGGATCAACGGTTTCAGACCTCCGCCAGGTTTATTATAAATGGATTATTCTAATCTCCCCCTCGTTCAACGGACCTCTTCAGCTTCGTGTGTTAATTATCGGGGAAGTGAAAAGCCCCTTTGGGACAAATAAAGTTAGCACGTATGTATTTATCACCGTGACAAGATAATTGAGACGTACCAAAATACGGTATTTTGTACGTATCATTTATCTTTTTGAGGTGGCTTTGCGTTTCTATGGTAACCATGTTCTCAACAACAACAAACTTTATTTACTCATACATTTACAATTTTACAAATATATATATATACAAATAGATGGACAGAAAAATGATGTATATTTGCGTCTCGAGAACCCAAAGGTTTTCTAGTCAGTCTCCAGTTATTTTAAGATTTCTACGGATATTGAGAGTTTATAGAATTCTCAAGAGAAGAGATGTGCTCATGATGTCTGATAGAATGGAGAAAATCAATACAAGTTTTCAGAATGTTGTTCAGGCAGTAAATAAAATTTCAGTTGTTTAGAGGGGTTGAAGGCATTGAGATATTTAAGGTGGGTTGGGATGTTGTCCCAGAAAATAGTCGCTGTGTAAGCTATTCTCAGACTGTTTAATGACGCTGCGAAGCAAAACGGATTTTCAGTGTTTCACCGCAACATCCGTAGCCTGGGTAAGAATCTATCCTTATTACATGATATCCTACAAACAGTTAAAACTCAACCGGATATTATAGCAATTTCTGAGAGTAAAATCAGGGAAAATACGTGTAAATCTCTAAACATACCCGGCTATGTTTTTATAAATACTAATTCAAAAACACTGGCAGGAGGCGTTGGCCTGTATCTCCCTAGTAAATTAGAATTTACGAGGAGGCGTAAACAACTGACATTTTATTTTTCTGTCTGAGCAAAATTCTGAAAACTTGCATTGATTTTCTCTATTCTATTAAAGATGATAACGATAACCTTTATTTAACGTGGTCAAAAGCGTTTAGCTAAATAGCTACTTTACAGGCATGCCACGAAATAAAAATAGCAACAAAAATCTCTATAAATTATATTTACAATTAAAATTACGTATCGTGTACGCATCTCTTCTCTTAAGAATTCTATAAATTATACTCTCAATATCCATAGAAATCTTAGAATAACTGGAGACTGTCTAGAAAACAGTCTCCAGACTAGAATATACAGTATTTTTCTGTCCATCTATTAGTTATATTTTTACAATAACTGCAGGAATTTTCGTGCGCTCATTGGCTAATTTTCATTTTCAATAAGGGGACAGACACATGAATTTATCATTTATGCAATGCGTTAACGAGCGAGAGCGGACAATTTGACAATTTGTCACTGCAAAAACAAATTGAAGTCAGTTTTTCATGCGTTTGTCCTGTTATTGACAATGAATTTCGTCATAACATTGTCAAAGTTGTCGGCGGATCCACTCAGCCTTTGACAATGTTGTGACGAAATTCATGATCCAGTAACAGGACAGAAGCATGAAAAACCTTCGTCAATTTGTTAAATATATTTTTGTAAAATTGTAAATGTATGAGTAGATACATGTTAAGTTTGTTGTTGTTGTTGAAAACATGGTTGCCATTGAAACGCAAAGCCACCTAACAAGATAATTGAGACACACTAAAATACGTACATACATACGTGCCTACTTTATTCGTCCTGAAAGGGTTTTTCAGTTCCCCGATAATTAACATACGAAGCTGAAGAGGTCCGTTGAAAGCAACGAGGTAGAGAATAGGATAATCCATTTATAATAAACCTGGCGCAGGTCTGAAACCGTTGATCCAGAACAAGGAAGTTGTTGTAATCTTTGGGGGTGCTTGGATGTCTGTGTTGCATAGAAGACAAGTGTAAGATACGACTCAAAATGTCTCGAAAGATAAGCAACTACGTAAACTTTGTTCAATTGTCAGCTGATCACAATCGAAAAACGATACACGGTGGAAAGAACTGAATCTTCAGCGTCAAATGCGAGCAGCAGACTTGAAAATGGCGGTCAACTTATCGACTTGTTACTCAGCGTCTTGAAACGTGCTCGTTCTCTAGGGGGATCCGGGGTAATGCTCCCTCGGGAGATTTTCCAATCTGAGGTCCCTAAAATAGCATTTCCAGCCTTCTGAGAGCAGTTTCCAGCAATTTTAACTGACTAAAATCATTGATCGGATATGTTACTTGAACGTTGTACTCTCCTTATGGAACAGGTTTATTCAAATTGACATGCAACATGCAATGCTGTATGAAAAATAAACTACTTACCCATTACATAGACCCCACAAACTAGTTCAATTCATTTGGATATTTGGGAAAATTGTCGGAAACGTTTTAAAGATAGCGCTGCGAAAACAAAATTAGGCTAACCAGAGTGTTAATTACTCTGAGAGAATCCAACCGTATTCTAACATTATTACTGTTCTACTTCTGAATATTTTTACTTGTGTTAGCTAAACTTTTTTTGGGGGGAGGGGGGCCTCCCCATGGTACGGCACTGTTACTTATCCATATGTCTATGTGTCGTCTGTGTGATTAGTTAAATATCTCGTAAAACATTGAGAGTGGAATTGAGAAATTGGAAATGAGTCTGTCAGGCGTACCAACAGATTTACAGGTTAGGTAATGTAGTGGAAATCAAATCAAAACAGAATAAATTTGTTATGAGCCAAGCAAACAAGTTGTTCGTAACATAAGTCTCATGATTATCAACCCGCACCTGTTATTTATGCAGTTTGGACAAAATAAAATCAAAAAGGCAGCTATGACAAACAAAACAGATGGAAAGACACATAACCTCAATAGCCGGAAGAATCCATACGGATAACATAACATAACATAACAACATAACATAACATAACATAACATAGCATAGCATAACAACGTAACATAACATGACAACATAACATAGCATGACATAAAACCTTTATTTTAACACATTAAGAATTAAAGCTACAAAGCTTGTGGGGTCGTGTATATATACTACTGGATTAAAATACGTTAATTAAAATATACACACGTAATATAATAAATACGAAGCTAAGATGAAAGTATCATCTAGGCTTAAAATATTATAAGTTCCTAAAAATACACGTACATGTAATCACTATCTCTATATCGGGATATGGAGGTAGCCGAACTGTCGAAAAGAATCTTTAAAATACTCCTTGGTAATAAGTAGTCTATAAATTTCCTAAAAATTTAAATTATCTATTTTGACATTACAATTAACTAAATTCCAGAGGGCTGACCCTGGCTAGTGAGTCTCTCATTAATCTGCTATTGCATCTGGGCATCGAAGCTACATTCTGACCACGTTATGAATAAGAACTTTCTCGATTTCTAAAGATACTCTTAGAAAGGCAGTCTGGTAGGATGTCATTATTTGCGTGCGTTCGAATATTTGTAGGTTTGGTATGTTAAAATAGCAAAAATTCTAGGAAAAGCATTCATTTTTTGCTTGATTTGTTAGTTGGACGTGAAATTGGCCTCCTCGCAGGGGCGAAAACAAAGGAATTCATCGCAAAGCATATGCATACGAGACGGTTGTTCTCGTTCATACATGTATTACGTAAAATAAGTTAGAATTCAATTCAATTCAATTCAGTTCTGGACCAAAAGTTGCCTGTTTCGTCGGTATACGAGACGACGTGCTTTTATTACCAAAACTAGAATGAACACGGTAGCGTTAAAATGTATGAGAAATCTGAGGGCAATAGGACTAAGGCTGTGTAGTTAGATTCTCATCTGCGATCTATATTCGGGGAAAATAACGAATGTCCAAAAGCTAAAACAAAACCTAAGAACAGCCAGTGGGGTATTTAATCACAATAACTTCTTTTTTGACCGAAAAGACGGCTTTACATTCTTATAAGTTTCTTCCTCTTTTGTTTAACTAATTAAGTTAGATTATTTTCAATGCCTTCATTTTGGCATTGGAAAAATACTAACAAGGATGAAGAGGAGGATTATTATATTCAGTGAGCAACTTTTAATTCCGAAGCAATCTCGTCAAAACAAATTGATTTACTTTGCAAATGAATATGGAAGAGTGTGAAGAAGATTGTGACTAATAAGCGAGCCCGCGAGTCGTGAGCCGCGAGCGTATTTTTGCACGCCACTGCGTTTTTTTTGTTTTTTTGTTTCTTTGTTTTTTTTTGTTTTTTTTTTTGAATTTTTAATTTTATGTCAACATTTTACTCAGTAAATGCTACACTTGATAGAAGAAACAAAAGTTTTCGATTTTCTTTCATGCGAGAAATTCTGCGCAAGTAATTTTTCGTAATTTCATCGAACGGATTTTGCAGGTAAGTTTGACAACTATCCAAATAACATGCAAGAAAACGTTCAAGTGAGGCGAAGTTTAGGTAATTTTCAAGATGATATAGCAAGAGCATTAATCAAGCACCGCCACGAAAGATTCATATATTTGGTTTTTTGCCTGCCAGTTGTCTGTTGTTTTGTCTCGCGGGAAATCAGGCTTTCAATTTTTTTTTTTTTTTTGAAATGGTTCCCGGTAAAATTGAACGACAGGAGGATCGCTTATTTCGAGCAATTCTATAGTTTGGGTACAAAACCCATCCGCACGGCAATGATTAGTAGAAGTTGGTTTATAACCGTATTTACACATCAGTTTGGTCTAACGTTTTGCTTGAATCCCGCTGGAATATAAATCCTTTAGGTAATTCACTGACCCTTCATTTCGCTATAACACGAAACTTCGCCCTGTGAAAGTCAATACAATTTACTGCGCTGAAAAAAATCACTTAAAGATTTGCAAAAGTTTACCTCTCTTCCAGCTACCAAAATCTGCAGGGTAATTCAAAACCAAGATGGGACTGTCCGTCCTAAAATATCTGCATAATTGGTAGAAATAATCTTTTTAAAAAAAGGAAAACTCTCCATCACCTCACTTGCCATGCTACAGTGCATCAACGCATGAAGACCGCGGGTGCTTTCATTATGCCAAAGATACCGGAAATTTCGGTCGGATGTAAAATGGTCCTTTTCGGTTCTTTCCGACCGGAATATTCGGGATCACCTCCTGAGGTGGTCCACTTATTTCCGTCGGACCGGTCCAAATGAAATTTGCCGTTTAACTTTTGACAAACGGGTTCATTGCCCTTTTCTCTTCACTTATGTAGAGAATTCGGAAAGGGAATAAAACAGGGTGAGAGCCATTCCTCTTAGGCGGCCCAATTTGATCGGAAAATGTCGTTCCATTTTCCTCGGCTATTCCCACTGGTCTCTGACCGGTCAGTTTGACGTTCAGTGGAGGTACCCAGCATGTAATAAATACCATATTAGGGCATTATGCCCGTTTTTTTTTTTTTTTTTTTCTTTTTGGACATTTTGGCGGGAATCTTTCGGGGCTCGTAAAAGAAACCCTCGGCTCGCAGCTTGCGGCTCGAGGCTCGGGCTCGCACACTCGCAAAATAGCCTCCCCCACCAGGGAACAGTAAAGCTGTCGAGCGATTGGTGCAACAAGTCTAGTGTGTTTTTTTTTCTTTTTGTCGTCTTCGATACCTAGCTCAGTACAGTGATAGCAAGCTAGGAGTCATTTTTATTTGTTTCTGTGCATCAAATTGTAACATTTCCAAGAAGTAAAGTTACTAATTCATAGAATATAATTAAAAGAAACGTTAATCGACGTTTCGATATATCCAACACCATTATAAAGAATGAAAATTTGTTAACTGTCAAAGATGTGAAAAGAGCCGAGTTTTGAATATGATGAGATGGCATTCCTGTGGATCTGACTTGATGCAGAAGTTTTTACAAATCTTTTGATAAAGTTTTCAATATTCTGTCAAGATAGTGCTTTTCGGCAACCTTTCCAAATTGAGCGTTATAATCATTACTGTGTGAAAGCCTCACTTAAAGACTTGTCTGATTGATTTGTTACAATATAATTGTAACTTTTGATCTGTTACAATATAATTAAAACTTCCTAGCCAAAGGTAACATTTTTTCGATCAAATCCTTGATAAACCGATAATTTGTGCGGGAGGCAATCATATCAGTCTTCCTCCACCTGGTCTGAATGGGTTTAACCGGGTGATATCTTCCCCTATTCCAACAGCAAGTCACAAGTGGGATATTCGTGGAATAACCCTGGAGAACAATGAATAATTATGTTATTCCATGCCTTCCCCGCACACATAACGGGTATAAGGAGGACAGCGAACAGAAAAATTCAACCTTGACTGAATTGCAGGACTTGCTAACAGATCTCGTTGACTTCTGCATCAGCTTTTCTAGTCCTTAATGGCCTGAATGGAATAATGTCATTTTATTCATGATATCTCAAACTCTGAGATAAAAGAGGTGTTCATTAAAAGTCAATAGTTCTCGACCTCGGCCGTTTGATATCTATTTTAATTGCTAATTATCATTAGTGTGTTGGATGACTGTTCCCAGATTCAACGGAAGAAACACGATTGTTTCCAACTCTCTTGCTTAGTGTCCAGGGTGTACGCGCCAAAATATGAACGATAGTTTTGAAACGATGGGCTAAAAGTGCCAGAAACTGAAGAACAACTAAAAGCCCGTAAATAAGTAGAAAAGCAAGCCCAATAACGTCTACTCCAAAGACCTTCAGGTCTTTTTGCTGCACCAGAGTCAGTACTATTACCGTCCATAAGGCATTGCTGACACCAAATATCAAAAGGGCTGTGTTTCGCAATTCCACGAGTTTTTCTTTCAGCTCGGAAGTCTGGTCAAAGGCACTTAATTCAGGGACTAGACATGTTTGGCGTAAACCTTCCCAGAATTCATACTCAATGCCGTCGTCCTGGTTGTCCACATCCAGGTAGAGCAATGGAAGACGATCCAGCTCACGCCGCGTCTGACGAAGTTTGATTTGACCTGGGAAAAAATACGGACAATCACACGTTAAGAAGAGGCCGACGTTATGTATTTTGTTTTTCTCTAAGAATCTGGCAATTAATGGATACGTTTTTCAGTATATTGCCATAGGCATAACCAACTGGGCGAGCCAGCTTGTAATTTTCTTGAAGCATCACCTAAAACAGTGAGTGAAAATCAGTGAACATGGAAACATGGATCTAGTTGAATTGAGTTCAGGCTCTTGTTCTCGTTTGATTCCGGGTCACTATATCAAGAAGGTCTCTTATCAATTAACTCTCGCTCAGTTTCATCTTATTAGAACTATTTTTCTCCGGATTAGACAAGAATTCTCTTCTTGAGGTGTTTTACTCCAGTTCGCCGACACTAAGTTTCCTTACTTAAGATATTGCAAGTGAAATTTTGTAATTCATATCCAAATGACATAAAAATTGCAGAATGTTTTATGTCATGAAATAAGTTAAAGGCTACCAAAGGTAGATATTTTCTTTTCATGCATGCTCTGAGCATGCAGCAAGTTTCAAGCTCGCGCACAGATGGTGGCCTGGAAAATTCCCTGTTCCGTCTGATCTGTGAGTCAGTAACATACCAATTTCCGTGAGCGTGAGACAGGTTTTTGAAACTTACCTTGATTGGGGTATTGCAGTTTACGAATGGCAAATAAAAGCCTGTTGAAGTGGCCAGGTTTGTGGATGTTAAACGTCTCTTTCAGGTTGTCTTTGTTTATCTTTTTCAAATCTTCCAAGTCGTTGGGTTCTGTATATCCACTAGATTCAAACTTGGGCCAATAATCGCCCAGACCATGCTCTTCCAACCATTCCTGAACGTCTAGCTTTTAAAACAAAACATAATGGTACCAGAATTAAAACTAAACAATTCGCTAAATACTTGCATATAGTTGTATTCAAAATGTTTTTGATATCAAGCGAAATCCGATGTCGGTGACATGATGCAGCCGAAGATTTGGAAGTAGTTAGGTGGAGTAAATACCTAACCGTGCCTTTTTGTTACTCTTAGGTTGCATATAAAAGTCGGTTATTTTCGCCATGGACATTTTTACTCCACTACGTATAATCAAAATATATGTTAGCTATGGCTCGACCAAAATCGCCTGTTATGTCGCCGAAGCTAAGCGTACCAAAACGACACGATTAGATGTCATTGCAGTAATTTCCACGTAACCAGAAGCTGGGAGAACTATGCCACAAGTTAAGGAATAGACCACTTATTCTGTGGGTTTAACGGCGCAATAAACCACGCGGGATGTTGGGAAAACACGGGAAAAGTTTGTAAATCACGAGCCGTTAGGCGAGTGATTTAGCTTTTCGAGTGTTCTCCCAACATCCCACATGAAACATCCCGAAACTGCATGTTTATCGCTAGCGTACTGAGTTCTCTCGTTCCCGCGTAGAGCTGCCATGGAACATAGGGTTTGTAACTCTACTGACCAATCAGAGCGGACGTAGTATGTCAGTTATTTTATAAATCAAAATAACATCTCTTTTCTGGAAAGATTTATATTTTTGAACACAAATAAGCCTTGGGCTTAATATCGAAATTTTAAGACCAATGATAAAAGAATAAGAGTGAATTCGATCCCGGCTTATGCCTTTTTGTACCAGTCATAAGAAACCTTACAGGGATATCCTCTTCGATGTCCAGTCGCGGAATTTTCCTAATATCTCGTAGAAGCCTCTGGCGATGTCCTCTGGTATGGATGCCAATTAGTTGCAGATCCTGTAAGGCGATTAATATTTATCAAAAAAAATTGATTGGTTTGCACAAAATTAAAGCAAGTTTCTTCCGGGTAACGTGCCTGAGACTGTACTGTAACGGTAGAAAGGGAAGGATTTACCATGATCAACGAAATAGTCACGAGGAATGCATAAACTGAAGAGATAACGGCCAACCGATTGTGTGTGTGTACAACGATTTGGCCGGAAAGAAAACCGAAAACGAAACTAACGGCCGCCCTCTGACAAACTTGGACGAGAAATGAAGTCTGAAGAAGCAGTCTGTAAGATAGGAATTAAAGATTGGTGGTTACGGGACGAGAGATTCATCCATGTGGCTTGATATATAATACATTTAATACGGATACTGAAATTAAATAATTCTTCTCGCCCGAAGCTCCGAAAGGCGCGGTTGGGGTACTTAGCTTCACCGCCCGCGCCTCGAGGGGATTTCGAGTGGACCTTAAAAATGGCGTCCTTTTAATTTTATTTTAATTATCTTCTTCATCACGACCGACTTTGTAGTTTATGTGTTACCTGTTCACAACTTATTATCAGGGTCTACTGTTTAAAATCTTAAATGATCATTGAGCTCTCTATTACGACCAAGGTTTAAAAAGAAAGTAGTCGGCTTCTATTCATTTTCAGTTTCGGTTTGGGTATACTTTACTGGATATACTTTAATTGTTTCATTGTTGTGGGTTTTGTTTGATTTTAAAACAGCACTAACCTTATCTGTCATTCCGGGTAGAAATCCTGCTGTATCATATCCGTGCTCACGAAAATTGGAAGCGTAACGCTGTGGAACACCAAACCAACTCATCATTAATAAAGTAAAAAGTTAAACACGAACTTACGAAGCCGAAGGCGACTAACATCTCCTCTCTTTTACTCGACCCGGCTTTTTTTAATAAGGCAGTCGTGAGTGTGCCGTGTGTCTGTAAGTCCAGGACAACAGGAACACTTGAGCCAACAAAATATTATGCTAAAACACAAACAATTACCAACTTGATTTTCCCGAAATCACACACAAACCTTCTCAGTGTAAAACCATACCGGCTTTTTCGTATAATTCCATTACATCCTGTTACCTTAAAGTCTCTTGTTAACCACTCTTCCACTGCCAAATTCAGATCGGAAAAAGAAACGTCGTTTTTTAGTGCTGTCATAGGACGACCATTTTCATCTAACAGGAAAAAAGTAAAACAACATGCAGGTACGATTAGGGTGAGGTCTTTTCTATTAATTGTACTCATTTCTAACGGTTCGTTTATAGGACAGCTCAGAAAAATATTGAAAAGACTTGCTCAATAATGCAGTGTTATTTACTGTAGACTGGGCTTTTTATCATTAGTGAGCCTGCATGGGATGGGGGGGGGCGCACAAAAATCTTAAAAAATATTCACTTCATATCAATTGACCACTGGTCAATCATGACTGCATATCACGCGAAAAATGACGTCATTCATTTAGAGATGCTCACCATCTTGGATCTGTTATCTTCGATCGCAACCTTTTGCTGAAATGAGGGAGAATCCCCAAAATTGAGTATAAAATATCAAAAACCGCAAAGGATGCAATTTTATACTAGAGATGTTTAGCGATAATACCATGAAATCGCAAATGTTCAAATCTCACTGCAAAAAAATCTAGCTTAAAAAAAACAACGCCAAATTCGGGCAAAGTACCCTCTGAAAACTTAGTCACCATAGAAGAGCCGTCATTGACACACGGAAATGTTCCCGATCATTAATGCTTGACACTTACATCCCCATCAACTCCTCCAGGAGTAACACTTACCCAATGTTCGAAGTGAGAGGTTCGATCCAAACTTGCGTGACAGCTCAGGACTTTTCATCCTCTGCAGCTGCCCGTCTCCCTTTTCAGGTTGATCGCTGCTTTCCTGGAACATTGATTCCGAGGATGTGATAAGAGTCGATACTGTGAGTGGAACCAATCTTTTCCCTTTTCCCTTTTGCTTTTGCATTTCTCCATCGCTGATTAGTTGACTAACATCGCTTTTTTGAGGCATTGCTCCTTTATGAACCAGTGAATTCGCCGAATGATCCTTTTCAGACGAGTATTCCTCCCGTTTCACTCCATCACCTGCGTTTATTTTCTCTCGTATCAAGCCCTGCGCGTATGACCCCGGATCTGGGCCAATGGATTCACTTGAAGATGGTTTATGGAAGGCACCATTAAGGGAATTGTCTTCATTTATTTCCCCAGTAGAAAGTTTACAAGCTTCTTTCGACTTCATCTTACTTGATGATGTAGCCAGAGATCTTCTTGGAATTTC